ATTGAAACCCAATCTGCTTTACTATTAAAAAGAAACAACATTAATTAATAAACTATACAGTTTCCAGACTTTTTTTATGTTTGTACAATTTGTATATACCATTACATATGTTTCATACACAAGTTGAAAGGGACCGTTCTCAAAAGCGTTAAGTGCATTGAAATTTATGCATACACCAGCTCCTTGAGTAATAGAGGTAAGCATGTTAGCTCAAATTAACATAGCCAAACATTGCATTGTCTTACTGCACCTATTGTGTCATAGAGCAGGTAATGCAACAGTTCAGAACATCGGTATGCCCAGACCTGCAGCGTGTCATGCGTGAAACGTGCTCGCACATTCATTATCGCCCATAAACGTTGTGTGGAAATATCGTAACGCTTACAAAAATCCCTTGATTAGTTTAAAAGGCATTATGAATGCCGCCTGCTTGACTGTTAGCTAAAGTAAAACATGAGTTAGTACGTAGGTAGAAAGTGTCAGTAAATTTTCCAGCGCAAAGAATAGAAATTATTGGATATTGTTATGTTGTTTTTGGCATCTGTGAAGACAAATATGATAGGCTGTTGTGTCAATAAGTATTGTTTCTAGACTACAACTGAGATTTGAGAAACTCATAATGTGATTTCGTTAAGATGTGTTGTCACTGTTTTTTTTAAACGCAATTAATTTTCCATTCATTATAAAATAATTAAATTCATACTTCTATATTATAAATGTATAATAAACTTCATTTCTTATTTTTAATTATATTACGACCTCAATAGATAAAGAAATCTTTTTGTCGCAAACATTTAAAATGCGGAGGATCATTTTAAATGTATGCGACAAAAAGGCTTTTCTATTGTTTCTTAATGTGTTCAGGTAATCGTTGAAAGATGTGGCTTCTTCATAGACTATGAAAACTTCACCATTGTTCATAACAATGATTGCGAACGGGGTGAAAGCGCTTCCGACTTACATAACATTCACACAATGAACGTTTGACTTCTGACATTGACTGATCTGTGACTTGTTTTTGTAACGCTTCTAATAACCCGCGTTCACTTAGCATCATTTCGCAATATTAATTTGTAATTCTTATTGTCTGAATATTCATAAGACACGCTTTTTCTATCAGGTCTCGCTTCAGAAGCAATAATATGATACGATCAATTACTTTTTTAAGAATTTCAACGTCTATTGACCTTATACTGCAAAGTTTTATTTTAAAATTAGAAATTGAATCATTTTAGTTAAGCGGGTATATTTCTTATTTGGTTAATTTAGAACATTGATATTAAAACTTTAAAAAAGAATTCTATTTTTACATTTTTATATCAGTTTTGTTAATGAGATTGAGAGATTTTTAGTAAAATCTTTGGTTCGTATTTTTTGAATTATTTATTTAGGTTATAGTAATAGCTTAAATGACTTAATACACAAGGATTAAAATGCTTATAGTCAGATCAAGAGCCTAACCATAAGTACATAAACAACATCTGCATGAAAATCTAGCTTATTTGATTGAAATGAAGTAGCTTTATCGACTTAAAATTGTTATAAAAACAATTTCACATTAAAGTACACCCCTCGTAGCAAAGTGGCAGGTTCAATCCTACATGACGCCTGTTGTTTTCCACTAAAAAATCTAACTATATTATAAAATGCTTCTTTTTATTCTCATATAAATAGACGTTCTTTTCTATTTAATAGAAATTCGAAAGCAACAGCAAAGGCAGATGTATTAAAATTTCAAAATCTCGTGTGCTCTTAACCGCTTTATCATAGTAATCATATCCGACAACCCTCCCGTTGCTCTTGTGGCGTCACAGTGCGAATAAAAGGCACTCATTTTCCAGAGTACAGACTCGCATCAAAACAAATTACATATAACGCTGACAGAATGGTCCTAGGGACTCGTAAAAAGTTCGTGCACCCCCAGAATTCTCCCAATTGTTCTCATCTCGCTCGAGTGTGAATTCACTTAAATACCTTGTCCCGTGCCATTTCGCAAGAAGACGTTGGAAAGCTTACAAAGCTCACAAAGAAAATGAAATTTAAATCGAAACGTATTAGAGACGTGTAAACTAAAAGTCGATGTCCTTTCTTTTGTCAGAATTCTAGGTACAATAGTCTGCTATTATACGAGCACAAGTGCACAAGCACCAAATGAACTATCACACTAATAGTATAAAAGCGAAAGTTTGTGAGTGTGTATGTTTGTTACTTCTTGACGTCTAAACGGCTGGACGGATTTTAATAAAATTTGGTATGGAGTTAGCTGACACCCTGGATTAACACATAGACTACGTTTTACTGCGGGAATATATCCCTTATAAACCGCGGGTAACACCGCGGGGCACAGCTAGTATATAATATATTAATATAGGGAGATAATATAATATATTATATATCACAATATACCAATAAGATACAGGTCCCCGGATTGCGCGTCAGGTGACCGGTGCAGGAGTATTGCCTGGTTTTAGTGGCCCTGTAAGGGCGTAGGTAGGGCCCTGTTCATTTCGGCGAGTCCTAGGGCTGGTTGAAGTGGACGGGGAGGAGTCCCACATACCTTCTTCTCGCTCCCCCAGTGGTTGAAGGATGCTTAAAGCATTTTCCAGATACAACTAAAAAAAAAAGGGGAACTTTATCAAACAATGCAATACTACAACCCAGAAATGAACCTCTTGATTTTTGGAATCTGGAATATGGAACGGCAAGCTTGTTCTTAAATCTCGTGTTAAAGTTATGGGTTTGACTTTTTTTGCAAATGCATCATAGTTTTTTCTATAAGGAATTCTATAGAGACTATAAGGGTTCCTTGTCAGGACTACGGAACCCTAAAAAACAGCATTGTCTATTCGAGTTTTATCTAACCATAAAATCTGCCGAGGGAGACAAAGGGGTGGGGGGTGGGTTTAAAGAGGGGAGAGAAGACAACGACGACATCTAAAGTTGCAATTTTAATCCCTTCCGATTTCCTGTACCGGTCCGAGCGTCGTGTGATCTCAGAAAATCCGGTGCAAAAGAAGAAAGGCGTTTTGTTGTTTTCATGAAAAAAGCGAGATTATAGAAGAACACAATTCAACTTCAAAAAGCGTCATTTCTAAAATATAAATCTTGAATATAATCCATACTTAATATTATAAATGCGAAAGTATGCCTGTTTGTCTGTCACCTCTTCACGCTCGAATCGATTTAGGTGAAATTGGGTTATACTAACAAAGTTCAAATGAAATTTAATTTCATAAATTTGAGGTTTTGAGATAAGATATGCGAACAACAAACTATTAAATAATGTTTAGTTGCCTCAATCTATTTTCGAGGAGCGAAGGAATATTTTAATAATTAAAAAACGAAAAAGAATGTGCGTGCGAAGTTTCAATCAAAATTAAGTTTTTCGTTGAATTAAAGTAGGCCTCCAGGACCGAGTAGTTTTTTTTTATTGTAAATACCATAATCAAATTTAGGTAATTAATATAATACTATACTTGCACTAGTCCTTTGTAAATATATATACATATATAAAATAATCATACTATCAGTGCTTATGTTGGTAACATGAAACTGACGTTTAACTACATAATAAGTGTGACTAAAACTGAACAACAAACATTAATAGGGGAATGTGAATTACAAAGTAACTTGAGTGAAGGCGAATAAATGAGCAAGCTGTTAATTAACTAGTTAATTAACGTCTTCTTAGATCTTATAAAATAATTATTAGAGGAGTTCAGATAAGCGAGAAGATTTATAGTTAGTTGTTTGTTTAGAAAGTCTTATTTTAACTCATTCAGTGTGTTTTTAATGCAAATTATTGTTAAGTGGAGACCAGTCGAAAGGATAGCTTGAAATCACAGAACACAGAAACAGGTTAGAAGGGTCATCATGTACCTTTTGTACGGGAACCGATGTCGCCAGCTCGCCCCCATTACACTTCCATCTAATAGGTAATAGCCAATCAAACGACGCGACATCAAACAATCGAACCAATCAGCACCAACACCCGAGAGCAACGACGCAATCCGAACCAAGTTTTGATCAAGTTATGAGTATTTGTTCACAAATAACTGTGGCGCGCCTACCCCGCCCAAAAGGCCCTTTTCTAACCTCTTTCTATGTTCTGTGCTTGAAATGGCAAAAAAGTGTGGCTTGATTGAATCCAGGTCCTTACTGCGTGGAAACTTAGAACCTCCGTGGAAAGTTAGTGTGTCTGTCTTATAAATCCACTTGAACATCTGTGTTGAATATTGAATCTAATTATTAACATTGAAAATGTTTTTTCGATTGCTCCAGTAGTGCGAGTACAGTTTTTAACTATGTTAATCTTCGTGATTACCACTGGACAAACAATTACCATTTTCATTAATTATCCAATTTATTTCAGTTGGATAATTTAACACTCTCTAATCGGATTATAACACGCGTTTTTGCCAATGCAATTAAAGTTTACATAGTATTGTAATCTATTGTCAACTATGTAGTGGATACGTCTTCGTGAAATGAAATGAAATGCAAAGCCTTTATTGGCCATCTTATAAATAATAAAAAACCTATTAATAAAAACTTTTGACTTAACCACTTTTAAACACAAAATTCATATTATTTTGTTAAAATTCAATCGTCGGACTTGTTCGACAAAACAGTCGACTCGCCAGTACAAATTTCAGATCTGTCAATAAAAAATCTTAAGTTTCATCTATGCCCGATTTAGCGCTGTAATTTTTTATGTGTGAGTGTCGTAACTACAATTTCATTTTTGCGAAAGTATGTTGGACTGCATTTGTGTGCGGGGGGAGGCCCCCGCAAAAAGCGCCAGAATGATTTCAGTAGTATTATGTCATTATGGCTACTCCCCTCCTGGCCGCGTCGGCTGTGTTGCTCTTATGTCTTTATCGGTTTCGCGCCAAAAGTTATAAAAACATTACTTTCGTAATTAAGCCAAAGGTTCAGCCTCATTACTGATCACAAAAATATAAGTATTCCTCGTAATAAAAGCATGTTTCTTGTTTCAGCATTCCTGGCGTGCATCGCCATCACATCGTGTGCACAAGTCGAAGACCCGTGCAAGACTAAATCAAGGGTGGTGGGAGATGACAAGTATTGTGACAAATATTGGGAATGCGACAACGGGCAATCGATCCAGTACGACTGCCCCAACGGGCTGGTCTTCGCAGGCAAACATCGAGGGGTGACAGAAGGCTGCGACTACCCGTGGCGGTCGAACTACTGTGAATATCCTAAAGTGCAAATCAGTAAGTGAATTTATATTTCTTTCGCTCTACCATAAAATCCACTAGGGATCTTCTTGTGTATGCTATCCACTTATAGAGTGAATCCATAGAGAAACGCGGCGAAACTCTCGCCGTTTCTCTTGATATTTCTAAGGCTTTTCACATGGTCTGGCATGCAAGTCTCATTGGCAAGCTACCTTCATATGGAATCGCTGTCGGACTTTGCAACTGGATTGCAGATTTTCTGAGGGGGAGATCGATACAAGTGGTCATTAATGGCGCATCGTCGGATCTAGTTGGTATTAATGCCGGTGTCCCCCAGGGATCTGTCCTTTCCGCAACTCTATTCTTGCTGCACATCAATGATTTGCTCCTAACTCCCGGTATCTTTGGGTATGCAGACGACAGCACAGTCTTGGAGAGATTTCTGCCTGATGTGAAGTCTGTTGCAGATGTCCGAGCATTAGGGTAGGCGATGGTGGAGTGAATGTAACCCTGGAAGTGGTTTCCCTCAGGGGTAAAGCCAACTTGGTTGGATTCAATCCCTCTAAAATCCCTGTCTCTTCTCGGCGAAACAGAATCCATTCTATCTGACTCCGACTTTCCGAAATGTCTCCGTGCCGGTTAAAGACCATCTCGAGCTCTTGTGTCTGGACATCTTATCCAGCCTCAATTACGGTCCCTACATCGAGTCCATTGCTAAAACCGCTGCCAAAAAACTTGGAATACTTTCTAAGGTCCGGCGATATTTTACATCTGAGCAGCTCCTTAACCTTTACCGAGCCCAAGGTCGCTCCTGCTTGGAATACTGTTGCCACCTTTGGGATGAATCTGCTCGATATCAGTTGGATGCACTGGACTCGGTGGAACACCGTGCGAAGAGACTCATAGGCAATGACGCTGAGGCTAATCTCCAGAGCCTTGACCACCGAAGACGTGTAGCTTGCCTCACGGTATTTTATCGGTTACATTTCGGAAAGTTTGCGGAAGTATTCCATAGTTTATTCCTTTTCCCTTTCCACCACCGGACAACCAGGCACGGCGAGGGCTTTCAACCTTATGATGCCGAAGTTCCTCCCATTTACACGAAGCGATTTGCTTCCGCTTTCACTGTGCAAACGGCTAGGGAGTGGAACTCCTTGCCGAGGTCTGTTTTCCTGGACCAATATAATCTGGTCATCTTCAAGGCCAGAGTGAACAGGCATTTTCTAGACAGGCGTGTACCATCTTAGGCCTCCATCGCTTTCCATCAGGCGCGATTATGGTCAAATGACTTGCCTATTAAGCACTAAAAAACGCCTCTTTTTGGAAGAAGCAAAATGCATGTGAGGCAAAGATCCATTCTCTACTGCCCCATCTATGCTACAGTAGCAACCTTTGAATCTTCAACTCTTACTGATCTTCAAATAGTGGTATCGTTTGTTGGGACTCTTTAAAGAATTGTAAGCTGAGAAGGTCAACCTTGTGTTACCACTCAACCCGACTTTTAGGTGGTGTTAGGTGGAACTCTTTCCTATTATTTCCGAAGAATAAACAGCATTTATCGTTGGCTAATCCACCACTTAAATCTTTAAATCAATATTGTTTGTCGTCCTCGCGTCTGTATACCCAATCCCTCAGTTCCATCTTTATCGTTATTTGTTTAAAATATTTAGACTAAATTCTCCCCCTCCCTAACTTAAATTCATTATTTCCTGCAGATCCACCAATCGGCACCGAGCATTGTGATTGGCTGTACGGCATCTTCGGACACGAAACATCCTGCACCCGCTACTGGACCTGCTGGAACGGCACAGCCACGGAGCAGCTCTGCATCGGTGGTCTGCTGTACAACGAGAACGCCCACTCTTGCGACTGGCCCGAAAATGTTGACGGCTGCCAGAAACATCGTGAGTAATCTATCTAGATTATCATCGTGAGTAATCTAGGTCATTTAGGGAGAATTTATTCCCACATCCTTTTCACTTCAAAAAGGTTCACTTTATCTTGTGTCGATAGACGTACATTATAATGAAAGTTAGACTGGCTTTACGACATTTTTGGCCACGAGACGTCCTGCACTCGCTACTGGATATTCTGGAACGCCACGGATCAGCTCTGTATCGGCAGTCTACTTTACAACGAGAACGCCTACTCTTGTGACTAGCTCAAGAATATCGATAGCTTCCAAAAACACAATGAGTAATATTGATCTTTGATGGAGAAGAGAGGAGACAAATACTCATTCATTCTGCTTTCTTCAAAAAGATTCACATCATTTTGTGTCATCGTTCACTCTTACGACTGGCCCGAGCTGGACATTCTTGTCCATGTATTTAGCATCAGGGGGACCGTAAGTTTGATAGCCAACCATTTATTAAAAAACAAAACACATCATCACACTTTGCATTAAATTATGATTATGAAAAGGTACTTATTAGTATGGAGAAGTATGAAATTTAGAAAATCTCTGTCAAGATTTTAGAATTCTCAGATCTTGCAACACAAACAACAACAAAATCATTCAGGCAGACCTTGCCCTGACAGTAACGAACACAACTAAAAAATAATCATCTAACTTGTAAATATTTTATGCGCATACATAGATTTCATTTTGATTGATATAAAATCGATCGAAGAGTTAAAACATTACCCTGCCTGCCTGAGGCTCAAGCAATTTTTTGTCAGCTCCGTAACGTATTCTTCTTCTTCTAGCTCAGCATACGTCGCCTTATCTTTAGCAAGAAGGAATAATTCCGCGGCGCTCGAGATTCCAGTCCATTCTCGTAGATTTCTCAACTAAGATTTCGTTTCCGTAAAGTATGACTGCCGTCAAATATTGTATGGAAAAAGCTAGTTTGTTCTTAAGTCCGATAGGGGCGCTGCTTAGTTTTCATAGAAACGTTGACGATGCAATACGGTATGAAGCTGTCAAAAATTAGAGCTCGAGTATCTTTATGCTTCATAAAAATCTAATCTTCAAATACCACCATCACCAAAGGTGCTCAAATCTTTATATATATAATTCTTCTGTGAGTGTGTATGTCACTGAATTTCTCTTAAACGACTGGACCGATTTTGATGAAATTTTTTGTGTGTGTTCAAGGGGATCTGAGAATGGTTTAGATTCACAAAGACGTGTAGACAGGACAACGTCTGTCGGGTCCGCTAGTAGACTATAAAAGTTTGTATGGAAAATCGATCGATTACGAAACGTCCTTCAATTTTGTTTGATGTTGTTTCCCAAACAGCAGTGCCGTCAAACTCACTTTTCACAGCGATATTTGCCAGTGTGATTGGAAGTTTACTTGAGTACGTATTTTTATTTGTTTATTTTATTTTATACTGTTTTTGAGCTTGTTCTCAAAGAATAGCATTATTATAAATTAACTACGCATAAACGCAGACAGTACCTAGAAATATAAAAATATCGTTGATAACGATCAGACAGAGCGCTGTGTTATTATTCTGTAAGAAGAAACGTACTCTTCACCTCGGAATCCGCGGTGTGATTTAAAGTTATAATACAAATTATTCAAATAAATTTCAAATCACGCAGCTCAATGGCGCAAGTGGTTATCGCGTTCGGCTGCTATCGTTGAACTTAAGTAACTTTCGCAGTGGTCGGTCATTGGATGGGTAACCAAAAAATCTTCTATCTCGAGTTCCCCCATGCTTCGGAAGGCACGTTAAGCCGTTGGTCCCAGCTGCATCTGCAGTCGTTAGCACCCGCCAATCCGCATTGGGCCCGCGTGGTGGGTCATGGCCCAATCTCCCTATTCCATCCATAGGGAAGGTCTGTGCCCCAGCAGTGGGGACATTGACAGGCTGATGATGATAATGATGATGACTGGCGAATTACGTGTGGTAAAAAGTGAGTTTTGTTCTTACAGTACAACACTGCTGAAAAGGCCGTTGCTCTTGATTTCCGTAGCTCAAGTGTTTAGGCGACTTAATCTGGGATCAGTACATTAAGTGAGTTGTAAGTGATCACGCATAGGGCGTTTAGTATTCATATATTACTAATCGATATTCAGTCTCGTTATGCCGGATCCTATTAACGGCTTAACGACCCTAGTTTAACGATATTTTGGGCGCTGAAATAATGTCTGAAGATACAATTGAGTTAGGCCAATAACTTACTTATTACTATGCAATTAGGGTGCTGCCAGAATTGTATCCACTAACTTTGTCCTGCTGTCCTGCACAAGTGCCATTCGAGAGAACAGGGTCAGTAGGTATATCCCAAAGACTTTGGTATATCCAGAGATTTATTCTTACAAATAAACTCATTCTCTATGTTATTAGTTTTGACTATTTTCAGATAGACTTAACCACATTATCTAATTCTGTGGACTTAACTTCGGTCATATCCATCCTACTTCCTACTAATAATGTAAATGTGAAAGTTTGTATGTTTGTTACTCAATCACGCAAAAACTACTGAATGGATTCGAATGAAATTTGGCACGCATATAGTTTATGGCCTGGATTGAGACATTATTTTATCCCAGAAAAAATATAGTATATCTATAGTGCCTTTTATCACCATATCAAAATTCCTCTAAATCGGTTAAACATTAGCGGCTTAGTTGTAGAATTGAAATAGAAAGACTGATAGACTGACGCACAGACAATTAGAGTGACTATGATAGTTAGCTATAATATTTTTAATGTTCAACCCACCCTTTTATTTCGTGAAAGAGAATTCATAATACATCATATTTAACTAACTATATATGTATTACTAGCTGTGCCCCGCGTTGTTACCCGCGGTTTAAGAGGGATATTTTCCCGCTGTAAGACTTAGCCTATGTATTAACCCAGGGTGTCAACTAACTCCATACTAAATTTTATTAAAATCACTCCAGCCGTTTAGACCTGAAGAAGTAACAAACATACACACTCACGCGCTCACAAACTTTCGATTTTATAAAATTAGTGTGATTATAAAGCTCATCTCTTATTCCAGTTGTAAGTATGCATGTCAATCTGGAAAACAGTAAACCAGTTAAGAAATACGTGCACAAGCACCAACATTATTGCAAGCACAAGATCTCGAGTGAACCCGAGTGCTCTCTCAAATAAATTTTATTTTCGTCATGTTGGCTTTTATGGACTGTGTTACCTGGAGAACCGAATTTGGATTGATACGAATTTATTCACAAGAGGGGTGGAAACGGAAGTGAAGAATACGCACGGAGAAAATAGCGCTGTGTGAATATAGTGTCAAGGTAATCAATTTGATAAAAAAAGCTTAAATCTCATAATGTCCGGTAAAATTTACTGGCAGGAACTTTAGTTTCCATTTCATTTCATTCAAAAAAATACGAATATTATAAATCAACTGCTATAAATTAAATTAATACCTTAGCCAGTCATCAACGACGGCACATTAGGCATCGATGAAATTCGTTCTTAAAATAAAACGATTAATTATGTAGCCGCAGAGTGGCATAACCAGACATGACGTCTAAATGCCATTAGGCCATTACCGAAAACGGATTGTCCTACTAAGCCAATCTAATTAAACTATCACAACTGATGAACTGACTGATATTTAAAGAATTTTTGATCGAAGTTTGGAACGCATCCCTGTGTATTTTGTGTATGACAGCCACGTGAGCAATAGACGGCGTGCGTACAGAAATATGTTTTAGAAACAAAGTTTTGTGAATGTGTTTTTGTTGAATGTTTTCAAAAAAGTTTTGCTGGAGACCCGACTTAAGACGCTTGTGTACAGTTCACAGGTTCATACATATGCGGGTGCGCATGGTCGCTCCGTCAGCGAAGCTAAACGTATACTTACAACTCATAACTCGTCGGTCGAATGGACTCCTATTCGAGCGGAAAATCCAGCTATGTTCTACCTCTCATAAAATGAAATTTTGGTTGGCCCTGTTCATTAATCAACTTTTACTTATTGCACGAAAAATTTAGAAATATTGCGGCTGGAACATATATTGTGTTTCCCTTATATTAAACACTCTCCCTCGAGATATATAGGCACCGCAAACTCGTTTCATAAGGAAATGACAAGTCTGATTTCATTGTTCGCATTTCGTTTTCATTTCGTTCTATCTACGGATAAAATGGTGGAAATCAAGATTTTGCTTCGCAAGCAAATTTATCGCCAAGTAATATTATCTTTTTGAGTTTTCGTTGCCGTATAAAAAACGATATTTATACTGTGTGTTCCGTAGTTTAGTTACTGATATGAATGCAAAAACGCATAAAATCTCTGCTATAGCAGCAAAAAGCCGCACGTTCCCTACTTATAGTATACTATATGCTATATGCTTATGATTACTTTCTCGATGATACAATCGGACTTATTGCTTCAGAATTAAACAAATCTTTACCCGAAAATATGTCGTCATTTAAGTACAGCTCCAGAGACGCAAGAACTCCTTTCTTACTCCGCTGCGAAATGACATTGTCGATAAACTTTATGGAACTTACGTATCGCGCGCTCGTTTAAACTAAGCGACGAGAATAAAAGTTCTCGATAGTTCAACTCTCGTTACTCTTTTAAACTATAAACATCGTAAACTCTTCTGTTTAATGTCTTGTCATAAAAGAAATGCACGTCTTCAAAAGAATTGCCCGCTTGATTTAAAGCGCTCGTCGTCTGTGAAAGTAACCTCCACTTTACAAGAGATCAAAGTAAAATACATCTTTCTTTTGATGGTGTTGTGTTTCCGTCGGTGTGTAAGGTTCCAGGGCTCCACGGGGAAGAGGATTGGGTGAGGGTAGGCAACAGTGCAAATGATATTTTTGGTATCGCAAGCGTCTACAGGCTTCCGTGACCGCTTACGATCAGGCGGGTCATACGCTTGTTTAAAAACCTGGAAACTGCAACGTAAAGACAGAAATATTGATCTGGCTTAATGAAATTAGGCGTAAAAGA